GTCAGCAAACAAAGGGGGGCAGCAGAGGGCACAAGGGACTACTCCCTTAAAGGGTTTTCTAACTAATAGCAGGGGTGTAAGAAAAAAGTAATGCTAAAATTTAAATTGCAAGTGCAGAAACATAGATATTATTGCTATAAAGAACCTGGCTCATCTGAAAAATGAGAGAGCCCTCTAAAGTCACATACAACCCATAAATTTATTCCACACTGACGGCAACAGGAAGGGGGGTGGAGTACATGATGTCAGAGACAATTTAAAAAAGTTTTGGGAGACAAGAATAAAATTAGAAGCGCTGCCGCTGAATCGTTTGGGTTTCAGCTTTTCGGGGCCGGAAAAAACTAATTTTTTGGGGGTGATTTTACGGGCGAAATTCCAAGGCTCTCAACGAAAATTTGTCTAATGGGAATTTCCTATAAACAGATTGACTGGAGCAATTTGAAGGAAATTTAGATCAGGGGACTTCCTTGATAAGATCCAGGATTGTTTTTTAAAAACAGTTTGTGACAGAGCCAACAGGGAAAATAACCCCCTTACTTGGTTCTTGCCAGTAGGGAAAAACTAATTAATAATCTTGAGGGTTAAAGAGATTGGGGAAAGGATCACAAATCACCATTTTAATATATCATGGAATTCCCCTAATAATGGCAATCAATCCCGTCCCTGACTTTCCTTGGGTTTTATAGGAAAAGAAAAAATTTCTTAGGTGGGCTGAACTGGAATACCTTGACAAGGGTCGGTAGTGGTGATGGGGTTCCAAAATGACGCTTTTCAGGGATAGTTCTAGCTGCTCAGTCAAATTATGTTCCAAATAGGGAAATCAGATCAAACAAAAATGACCCTAAATGGATGAACAATAGATTAAAATATCTGATTGGTCAAAAGAGAGGCATATATAGGCAAATCAAAAGAGGAGAGGGGCAATTAAGAATCGATATATTCAGTTAAAGAAGAAATAAAAAAGGGAATTAGAAAAGCAAAAAGAGTTATGAGGTTTAAAGTTGCAAGAGAATCGAAGACTAACCCAAAAGGATTCTTTCAGGTATACAAAAGTAATATCAGGGACAAGATAGGCCCACTCAAAAGTTCCTCGGGTCAGCTCACTGACAGTGATAAGGAAATGTGTAGAATTTTTAACACATACTTCCTCTCAGTTTTTACACAGGAGCATACCAGCGATATTCTAGAAATGATAAATTATGTAGAACAGGACGATAATAAACTGTGCACGATTAGGGTCACAAGTGACATGGTCCTTAGGCAAATAGATAAATTAAAACCTAACAAATCCCCAGGCCCTGATGAACTGTAAGCAAGGGTTCTAAAGGAATGTAAAGAGGAGCTTAGCAAACCTTTGGCTAATCTTTTCAACATATCACTACAAACTGGCATGGTGCCAGATAAGTAGAAAATGGCAAATGTGATACCTATTTTCAAAGCAGGTGACAGTCCTTAGCTTCGAACTATAGACCAATAAGCCTAACCTCCATAGTGGGAAAATTCATGGAATCAATAATTGCCGAGGCAGTTCATAGCCACCTCGAAAAGCATAAATTAATCAACGAATCTCAGCATAGTTTTACAAAGGGGCGTTCCTGCCTTATGAATTTATTAACTTTTTTTTACTAAGGTATTTGAGGAGGTATCATGGTAATGAATATGATATTGTGTAATATGGACTTCAGTAAGGCTTTTGACAGGGTCCCACATCAGAGACTATTGAGGAAAATTAAGGCACATGGAATAGGAGGAGAAATTTTTTCCTGGATAGAGGCATGGTTGACAAATAGGCAGCAGAGAGTTTGCATAAATGGGGAGAAATCAGAGTGGGAAAGCGTCACGAGCGGTGTTCCACAGGGGTCAGTGTTGGGCCCCCTGCTGTTCACAATCTACATAAACGACATAGATGAGGGCATAAAGAGCGACATCAGCAAGTTTGCCGATGACACCAAATAGGCCGTCGAATTCATTCTGACGAGGACATTAGAGCACTCCAGGAAGATTTGAATAGACTGATGCAGTGGTCGGAGAAGCGGCAGATGCAGTTTAATATAGACAAATGCAAAGTTCTATGTTGGACAGGACAATAACCATGCCACATATAAACTAAATAATGTAGATCTTAATATTACGGATTGCGAAAAAGATTTAGGAGTTCTGGTTAGCAGTAATCTGAAACCAAGACAACAGTGCATAAGTGTTCGCAATAAAGCTAACAGAATCCTTGGCTTCATATCAAGAAGCATAAATAATAGGAGTCCTCAGGTTGTTCTTCAACTCTATACATCCTTGGTTAGGCCTCATTTAGATTATGCTGCACAGTTTTGGTCACCGTATTACAGAATGGATATAAATGCTCTGGAAAATGTACAAAGATGATGGACAAAGTTGATCCCATGTATCAGAAACCTTCCCTATGAGGATAGACTAAGGGCCCTGAATCTGCCCTCTCTAGAAAGACGTAGAATTAGGGGGATATGATTGAGGTGTATAAATGGAAGACAGAATAAATAAAGGGATGTAAATATGTGCTGAAAATATCTAGCCTAGACAGGACTCGCAGCAATGGTTTTAAGTTGGAAAAATTCAGATTCGGGAAGGATATAGGAAAGTACTGGTTTGGTAATAGAGTTGTGGATGAGTGGAACAAACTCCCAAGTACAGTTATAGAGGCCAGAACGTTGTGCAGCTTTAAAAATAGGTTGGATAAATACATGAGTGGATGTGGGTGGGTGTGAGTTGGACCTGACAGCTTGTGCTACCAGGTCGGTTGCCGTGTTCCTCCCTTAAGTCAATGTGACCTGACCTGACTAGGTTGGGTGCATTGGCTTAAGCCGGTAGGAGACTTGGACCAGCCTCGCATGGGCCAGTAGGCCTGCTGCAGTGTTCCTTCATTCTCATGTTCTTATGTCCAGTGCTGACCTCAGCCCTGCTTGTCTGTATCTGGTATTTAGCTAATTATTTTAAACACTAGGAAGCTTTAAATAAATATAATTATTTACCCATGTCATGGCAATATAAAACTTAATATTTCATGGAAAATTATTATTATTGTTATTATAATTAAGAGGGAGAATTAAACTTGAAGAGGAAACAAGGACTGAGGAATGAACTCTCTTCTTTAAATCCCCAATGGAAATAAGACACTTTGACTTCTTGGGTTATCCTGAGTAATTTACACTATGTATAATTGTACTCATGTGTAACTGTGCCTAAATAAAATTACTAACCCCTAGACAGATGATGCTGAAGACCTAAGAGGACGCCAGATTGGAGCTATCATTTAGTGTTCGTGTACACAAAAGGATACATAATAGACGAGAAGAAACAGCAAAGCTCCAGTGTCGAAGAGAGAGAAAATAAAGACTGCAGTGTCGAGAGAGATGGAAGAATCCCCCTGAAGAGGCGGCGGTGCCTCCTCCATGGCTTGTTGTTCCTACAGTAGTTAAGGGACACCACAAGCTAGGTCGCTCACTCACCCTCCCGCCAACCTTCAAAAGGAATAAGTTTATTCAGGTACAGGTAACCATAAATACAGTTGCATAAATTGTCATACATAGCAGCATATGTGTACGTTACTTAGGATAACCCATAATAACAACAACAATAATAGATGAATGGTTCAGAGAACCGACATGTTGATAAATTAGACACATGTGCAACTCTTGGGTATCTTCAAGTTTCTCCTTTGTATGGACTGATGAAGCCACTGTGTGGCGAAACGTTTCCTCAATAAAGATACCCAAGAGTTGCACATGTTTTCTAATTTATCAAAAAATAATAATAATAAAATAAAAATAATAATAATTAATAATAATAATAATAATAATATAATAATAATAAAAATAATAATAATAAAACTTTAAAAATTTAAATAAATAAAAAATATAAAAATTAATAAAAATAAAAACTCATTTAAACAGGACAGTGCCCAAAAAAACCAACTCGGCCGGGTTAACGCGGCTGGGGTTTTAGCTCCTAATGACCGCGAAAGATTCAATCCGCCGGTTAGTGGTTTTTTGGCACGTGGGGTTTTGAATTTTTATAGGGGCAATCGGGGGTACAACGTTTTCAAGGTATACAGGCCTAACTGGCAGGAAATGGCAGAAATCGTACACCAAATCCAGTCATTCCTGGAGTGGAACCACAGTCGATGGCCTCCACTCCAAACCAAGCTGACATCAATGACACTATTTATTTATTTATTTAGTTGTTTATTTAATGTCTTTGCAAATAGTACATTGAGATTTTGCATTTACAATAGTGGGTTGCAATGCAAAGAGATCCTCTATGATGCCTAGGCATATGAAGCCCCTTGTTATATGCAGACCAGTCGGGAGGACATTTATTAGGTAAATTTTTACGCTGTGTGGATAATCTGCGACTAGAGGGAAGTCGTTCTTTTTCTTATAATCATAGGAAGGTTATAAACCTGCGGCACAACTTGCAATAAGTCATCACAAGGAACCCAATGGAATAATATCACTTTGCTGACTTTTTGGGTTATCCTAGGTTATCTATACATATGCTGCTATGTATGATAATTTATGTAACTGTATTTATGTGTGCCTGTACCTGAATAAACTTACTTATTTACAGCTGTGGGAATCCAACTAACTTTGAGGCGAGAGTACAAGTCCCACTTTGCCCGGGCTTTGTCTGTCCGAAATGCCCCTCATGTTAGTGACTTTCTTTTGTGCTTAACAATATTTTGTTACGTGTAAAACTACATCTTATATACTGAAGAAAGAATTATTATTATTATTATTATCAAAAGGAAGCGCTAAGCCACAAGGGCTATACAGCGCTGCAACTGAAGAAAGAAATAAAGTTGTTTTTAAAGAAATCCATCTGACTTAACTGGAAGCTGCTTATTCCTGTTTCTGTTTCTGATGGAAGCTTTTATTTCCTCTCATCACCCATGTCAGCTCAGACGGTACTCCCCCCCAAGCAAAAATACTCTAGGTAATTTACAAATATATGAAAACCCCCCCTCCCCCTTTTGTGTACCTGTACCTAAATCAATTTATCTCGAACACCGGGAGGAAGGACTCGACACAGTGATGCTGCCAGAAGCCCTTTACACCCACAACAACAAGTTAATGTTATGAAACTAGACATCATCACTCACTAGATACAGGTACTACACATAAACACAATTACACAAATTATCATACACAGTAACATATGCGTAAATTACCTAGGTCCTAGGATAACCCCAGAAAGTCAAAGAGGCTTATTTCCATTGGGGTCCTTGTAATCCACATCCCAACTAGTGTAGTCATCTGGAGGAACCTGTCAGTAAACTGGACATAATGAAAAAGAGAAAAATATTTCCTGGAAACCTCATTGCTGGATATATATTCTGTATTTTTGTGATATGCACATATGTTATTCTGTAAGACGTAATCGCCTAAAACGTGTGTAATTTACTAATTACCCAAATTAACTTAAACTTTCTTTTATTTGCAGTGCATTTACTTAATTTAAAATTTCATTTTATTTTTCAGAGCAGCAAAATGGCTAAGCATGCTTGTCAGTTGAATTTTCTGTCTCGTTCAGATGGATCTGCGCTGTACTCAATAGGTAGGGAGCTATATAATGAAATTTTTATTTCCTTACTTTTTTGTTCATCTTGAAATGAAACGAAAAATCTTTTGATTAATTCTGTTTTTGAAGGTGATCGATAATTTCTGTAATCTCTGATACTCGTGGCAAGAGATACAAGTGTTCGCTTTCACACTTAACATTTCATAATTTATTTCCACATCTGCATGAGAATTGTGCTATCTGCTATTTCCATAGTATGGAATATAACTTTGGTATAACTGTGTCTAGCATTAGGAATAATATTAGGAGAGAAGTAAATAATGAAGATGATTGTTATAGGAATGCAGTTAGAAGCCTGAGTAGATCTATAACCCACTATGATAACATGAACATAGATAAGTATGTTTATGGAGCAACTTGCAATGTGAACAGACTGACTGATGTTGTAGTGGCCAGGCTTAGGCTTGGTTACAAGTACTTCTGGCAGTTTGGGAGACACACAGATGATGATCAAACTAAATGTAAATTATGTGATCAGGCATATGGTCACTCTCTTGAACACTATGTGCTTAATTGTCCACTTATTGAGGAATACAGAGACAGACAGTATAATAACCTATGTGACATGTCAAGATATCTTATTAATGAAAATAAGATACCAGATATACTAAGCAAATTTCCTAAATTTGCTTGTAACAGATAAGTGAACTATAGATATGTAGATATAAATCCATATGTATTCCTGTTAACCCTTTGGGGCCTAGTTCCTAGGCCTTTTGTGTATCCATATGCTCTCGCGCTACCGTCCACAGGATGGATATGGGGTGCACAATAAACTAGCCACTTCGGTGGCAAAATCTCCATAGTATGGAAGAAATTGCATTTCCTATTGGACTATCCTAACTTTATCTAAGCAAATTCACAATGAAAACATAGTAAAATACCTAGATATGTAAAGCTGATATATTCTTTCATAGACGTTGGCTGATAAATATAGATGTACTGTAGTGGCAGGTGCTGCTCCCACTCTGAACTTCGTTGTTGTTAGAGTTTATTCTAAATTTTTAAAAGATGTTATCACAGACCAAGTCATATAAAGAAAATACATGATTTATTTATGGAGATGCATTAGACTGTGTTTAGAAAAACTAATTTTGAAGCAGAAGGATAACTTAGCACTCCAGCCCACACACAGCATTGTTTCATTGTTCAGTGCAGGCTAATATTATGTGATGTAATTTCATCTTATAATGTAAGTTAAAGTAATACGGAAAGTGAGGAAGTACATATAATTTGCATGAATGAACATGCTGTGATGTGTTAATACAGAAAATTATTTAGTTGTTTTAAATATTCATTAAAATGAACAGAGTACAATTTTCTTCCTTAACAGTAATTATTCATTAAGTATAGTTGCAACAAGAACTGGCATTTTTTGAACAGGGAACACAGTGGCACTTGCTTCAGTAAATGGTCCAGGTGAAGTTAAGAAATCCAACCGTCATTACAACCGGTCCCATCTAGAGGTGTGCTACAGTCCCTCCACAGGCCAGTCCAGTAAGTTCTCAATTAATTGGTGTGTGTTGTTTGATCTATTTTAAAACAATTTTTTTAAATCAAATACTTACTGTACTTTATTATATGACTTTTTATATATTGTCTTTTAATATATTGTCTTTTTCATGGCTTTCTAGTCTTAATTATTTTAATTTCTTCTTGACACTGAATCTCAAACCTCTGTTGTATTAAGCATATCATTTTCTGTATTTTACAGTGATAGGAGAGCGAACCCTGGAGTCAGTGATCCTACATACAGTTGAGCAAGTGATTCTTGTACATCTTCACCCAAGAACTGCAACTAATGTTACTATACAAGAGATGCAGTCTGATGGTCTGGTAGGACAATTTATACGTGCTACAACGTATATAAGTAATTTAGTTTGACTTTACATGAAGTTATTAAAATTTTACCTTAAAAATACTACCCATTTACAGTACAGTACATGTTGTTTCAGTACATATCTATGCTTTATTATTGGCCATTTATGTCTGTCTAGCATAATGCAATAAAGTCTGCTTCCTCAGCTCAATTTTGGTATGGTCTTGTATTTGTTCACTGTACATACTGTATATGTATACTGAACTTACCATAATTATTAACTTTTTTCTATTTTATATCCATATTGCATATTACAACAATACATTTTACTTATAGGTAGTAGGTTGGTAGACAGCAACCACCCAGGGAAGTACTACCGTCCTGCCAGATGACTGTGAAACAAAAACCTGTAACTGTTTTGCATGATGGTAGGATTGCTGGTTTTCTTTTTCTGTCTCATAAACACGCTAAGATAACAGGGATATCTTGCTACTCCTACTTACACTTTGGTCACACTTCACAGACACGCACATGCATATATATATATACATACATCTGGGTTTTTCCTCCTTTTTCAAAAATAGCTCTTTTTTCTTTTTTATTTCTTCTATTGTCCATGGGGAAGTGGAAAAGAATCTTTTCCTCCGTAAGCCATGCGTGGTCGTATGAGGCGACTAAAATGCCGGAGCAATGGGCTAGTAACCCCTTCTCCTGTATACAATTACTAAAAAAGAAGAAGAAAAACTTTATAAAACTGGGTTGCTTAAATGTGCGTGGATGTAGTGCGGATGACAAGAACAGATGATTTCTGATGTTATGAATGAAAAGAAGTTGGATGTCCTGGCCCTAAGCGAAACAAAACTGAAGGGGGTAGGGAGTTTCAGTGGGGGAAATAAATGGGATTAAATCTGGAGTATCTGAGAGAGTTAGAGCAAAGGAAGGGGTAGCAGTAATGTTAAATGATCAGTTATGGAAGGAAAAAGAGAATATGAATGTTAAATTCAAGAATTATGTGGATTAAAGTAAAGGTTTTGGATGCGAGGGAAATGGGTCATAATAAGCGTGTTTGCACCTGGAGAAGAGAGGAAAAGCAGAGGAGAGAGAGAGATTTTGGGAGATGTTAAGTGAATGTATAGGAGCCTTTGAACCAAGTGAGAGAGTAATTGTGGTAGGGGGCTTGAATTGCTAAAGTAGGAGAAACTTTTAGAGAGGGTGTGGTAGGTAAGTTTGGGGTGCCAGGTGTAAATGATAATGGGGAGCCCTTTTTATTGAAAATTTGTATAGAAAGGGGTTTAGTTATAGGTAATACATATTTTAAGAAAAAGAGGATAAAAATATATACACGATATGATGTAGGGCGAAATGACAGTAGTTTGTTGGATTATGTATTTGGGAGATAAAAGACTGTTGAGTAGACTTCAGGATGTACATGTTTATAGAGGGGCCACAGATATATCAGATCACTTTCTAGTTGTAGCTACACTGAGAGTAAAAGGAAAATGGATACAAGGAAATAGAAGATCAGGGGAAAAGGAGGTGAAGGTTTTTTTAAAAAAATAAAGAGGAGGCATTAGGGTAAGATAAAAAACGCTATTGGAGGATAGAAGGGTAATGAAGCATAGGGAATGGGGGCGAAGAGGTATGGGGTGGTTTAAAAATGTAGTGTTAGAGTGTTTAGCAGAAGTTTTTTTTTTAGGGAAAATGGGTGCAGGGGAAAGGGGCGATTGGTGGAATGATGATGTAAAGAGAGTGAAGGGGGAAAAAGTTTCATATAGAAGTTTTTTTCAAAATAGAAAGGGGCAAGGAGGGAAAGTATATGGAGAAAAAAAGAGAATTAAGGAGTGGGGAACAAAAGTAAAAAAAGGCAAAAGAGAGAGTGGGTGAGATGTTATCAAAAAAATTTTGTTTTAAAAAAGAAAAAAATTTTGGGGTGGATTAAAAGTTAAAAAGGGCCCAGGAAAAAATGGATTTGTCAGTTAAAAATGGAAGGAGAGTTTTAAAAGGAAGTTAGGGTATTGGGAAGATGGGGGGAATATTTTGGGGAATTGTTAATGTTTTGGGGAAAATAGGAAATGTGATTTCGGTAAGGGGAAAGGGGGAATAAAATCTTGTAGGGGGAGGGAAAAGAGCCAGTTGTGAGGGGGGGGAAGTTCGTGAGGCAGTAGGTAAAAATGAAAGGGGGAGGCAGCCGGAATTGATGGGATAAAGATAGAAAATTTTTAAAAGCGGTGGGGGGGGTATGTTTTGGAGTGGTTGGGGAATTTTTTTAATAAATGTATGGAAGAGGGTAAGGTAACCCCAGGGATTTGGGGAGGCATGCATAGTTTTTTTGTATAAAGGCAAGGGGAAAAAAGAGAGTGCAAAAATTATAGGGGGATAAGTCTGTTTAGTGTACCTGGTAAAGTGTATGGTAGAGTTAAATTGAAAAAATTAAAAAGTAAGACGGAGAATAGGATGAGTTAACAAGGGGCTTTTTTGGGAAAGGGAGGGGGTGTGTGGGCCCGGGGTTTACGGAAAAATAAAAAGTGAAACAGTATTTAGATAAGGCTAAAAAAGGGCTTTGTGGCATTTAGGGGTTTTGGAAAAGGCGTATGACAGGGTGGATAGGGGGGCAAAGTGGAGATGTTGCAAGGTATGGGGTAGGAGGGAGGTTACTGAAAGCATGAAGGTTTTTTTTTCGAGGATAGTGAGGCTCAAATTTGAGTAGTAGGAAAGAGGGAAATTTTTTCCCCGTAAAAAAGGGGCCCTTTAAAAAGGATGTGTATGAAGTGGTTGTTTAATATATTTATGATGGGGTTGAAAGAGAAATAAATGCGGGGTCTGGCAAGAGGCGTGGGGTTAAAAAATAAAGAATCACACCAAAGTGGGGGTTTCACAGCTGCTCTTTGCTGAGACACTGTGCTCTTGGGAGATTCTAAGAGAAATTGCAGAGTTGGTGGGAAAATTTTGGTTGGGTGTGCAAAAAAAAGAAAATTAAAGGTGAATACAGGAAGAGTAAAGGGTTTTGAGGATAAAAAAAGATAGGTGTGAAAGATTTAATACAGATTGGAGGGAGAGAGTATGGAGGAGGGGGAACGTATTTAGTATTTGGGATGACGTGTCAGGGATGGGGGGGATGAAAGTGAGGTGTTTATAGAATTTATGAGGGAAAAAGAGTGAGTGGGCCTTAGGAGTCTGTGGAGACAAAAAAACTTTGTCCTTGGAGGCAAAGAGGGGGAAAGATGGAGTATAGTTTTACCAAAGCTCTTATATGGGTGTGAAGCGGGGGGGGATGAAGTTGCAGCGAGGGGAAAGGTGGGGGCATGGAGATTGTGTTTGAGGGCAATGGTGGTGTGAATATAATGCAGAGAATTTTATTTGGAATTGGGGGAGGGGTGGGATTACAAAACTGTTGTCCAGAGGGCTGGGAAGGGTTGTTGAGGTGGTTCGGACATGTAAGAAAATGGAGCGAAAACAGATACTTCAAGGTGTATCAGTCTGTAGTGGAAGGAAGGCGGGGTTTGGGTCGCTAGGAAGGTTGGAGGAGGGGTAAAGGAGGTTTTGTGTGCGAGGGCTTGGACTTCCAGCAGGCATGGGGGAGCGTGTTTGATAGGAGTGAATTGGAGAAAAATTTGTTTTTAATACTTGACGTGCTGTTGGGTGTGAGCAAAGTAACATTTATGAGGGATCAGGGAAACGGCCAGCCGGACTTGAGTCTGAGATGGGAATTTACAGTGCCTGCACTCTAAAAGAGGGTGTTATGTTTGCAGTTTAAAAACTGTAGTGTAAAGCACCCTTCTGGCAAACAGTTGTAGTGGAATGATGGGAAAGTTTTCTTTTTCGGGCCACCTGCCTGGTGGGAATCGGCCAGTGTGATAATAAAAAAAATAATAAAAATAAAACATTTTACTCCTTTGACTAACATAAGGAGCCCACAATTTCAGGATGATGTTTTCTTATACAGTAATTGTATTTATTTCATTTGTTGTGTGTGGCAAGTGAAAGTAATTGTAGCTTAGTAATCATGTAGTGCATGCAATGTATGTAGTATACTGTACTGTATTTATATCCTCTACAAATAAATATACCACTTCAGGCACTATCAACAAGTGTCAATGCCACCTGCCTGGCCTTACTTGATGCTGGCGTTCAAATGAAATCCCCATTTGCAGCTGTCACGTGTTGTCTCACTCCTTCAGGTACCATCATAATTGAACCCACGGAAGCAGAGTTGAAGGTCAGTCAGTTTCTTGAAGTGATAAGTATTGTAAAGTCGTTATATATTTTCCTTGAGGTTAGGTGTAACATATGTAGATTGAAAAGATTCTCCAGTTCTGTTCTGTGATTGTACTGCACGTAAAAAATATTTGCAAGATAGACAAGACAGGAAGAATTTAATATATGGTGAGTGATTCAGTTACCTGAAATAAATGTACTGTATTATTATATTTATGGGAAACACTAAACCTGTATGGGTCATACAACATCTGAGAATAGGCACTCTGGTTCAGACCAAGGAAAGGGAGGCTAGGTCCAAATCTTTGGATTAAGAGCCTTAATAAAAGCAAGAGATGAAGAGTTTTGGTATGAAAGAAGTAGAAGTTGGAAAAAAAAAATGTAAGAGAACATGCAGTAATTATTTTAATAAGAGTTTTGAACATGGTGACAGGAGAGCCAGCATTGTTAGACATGCCTAGATATAAAGGCTATGTTCATAGATAAGAGTTCCATTGCAATCAGTATGTTTAAAGTTGATTGTCAGCAAATGTATGTAAAACAAACGTGCTTTTATTGTACAGTATTTGTTTTTATTTACAAAATTTTGCATATTTTATATGCTGTTACCCATAATCTGCTTTGCATTTTCCTGTTGTTAATGCACATTGTCTTCTAACTGATGAAGTTTGCATATTATTTCAGCTTCTTTATTTGATCTATTAATTTGATTTTGTTCTCCTGTTCTCCACAGTTTATAGCAGTTTAGTAATCCATTCTTGTTATGTTTGTAAACCTTAATCTTTCCAAAATCATTACTCATGGCCATAACCTTGATAATTACAAAATACAGTATGTCAGTTGAAAGTTGAACTAGTAATCTTATTATTAAAACTTACTGTTTTTTAATGCATATCTGTACTCATAATACGGAAGTATTAAATAAGTACATACTATAACCATAATATTAACTCTTACTAATTATGAATGTTTCAGGAAAGTGAGGCATTAGCAACATTTGTATTTGATGGTCAGGCGTTGAATGTTTTGTCAGCACATCAAGAAGGATGTCTCGATTCAGAGAACTTTTATGCTTGTCTCAGAAAATGTCAAACTGCAGCCAAGGATGTTTTGAATTTCTATCGGCGAATTATGGAGGAGAAGTATAGTAGTGATAAGAGCTATAACTAGATTATGATAATATGTAACATTGTTGTGATTTATTGAAAATTTTTGAGCTAAAAGATTATTAATTTGTCCCCAGGAACAGTATTTGTAGATCAGTAGATTTGGTTTAAATTTAAATTTTTTGTTGGTATTTTATAAAAATCTGATGTCTAATAAATAAACTCAAATTTCTTATGGTGTTTTTCATTTATACTTTTTGCCTTTATTCTGGTTCCTCAGCATTTCTTGTAAATCTGCACATGCAGGATGTCATCTCATGTTTAATCTTCACACTATGAACCATTATTTTTACTCAGCTATATCTTACATTGAGTCTTCCACCCATGTCTCTTTTTCCTGGATTGAAACTTATTGCCTCTCATACCTAAGATGTATGACCCCTATGGATTTAGCACTTTTCCCTAAATATAATAATAATTTCTACCTCTAGGATTCAAGACCAGTTAGTCGGATTTGAGGCCAGGAGCTTGCGCTCAGAAGGGTTAGGAATGTTAGAGTTCAGAGATTCATTTCACTTAATAATAATAATCTTTATTTGTACAAGTACATGTACAAGATATAAAGTGACATACTACTATATTCAATTCAATTCAATTCAAATTCAATTCAAAGTTTATTCTCTATAAGGATTACAATGCTGAGTTTACAGAATTTGGTTATTGTGTGGTTTACATGTAGTAAAATAATAATTACAGAGTGTACCACTAGAACACCTAGCATGGCTAGGCATTTCGGGCAGACTTAAATTAAATCTTAAGTTTAAAATATTACAAAATTATGAGGTAAGTTGGTATTATGGCTAAGTGACTGAATACTAGTTTGTGAGTTTAGCAATGTGAATGCTTTTGTTTTGGCACTATACATAGTTTCAGTATTGGAGTATCACAGGCCAACTTATGACTAGTTAAGATTCATTATTTTGAGATTGAGATTGATATTTCTGTTTATAGTCAAATGGGTGAGTGAGTGTAAGTGTTAACCACCAGGTGGTATTCGTGTAATTAGTTGACAGGGTGTATCAGGGAGATAAGATGTTTTCTGATGTAGTTTTGAAGGTGATGAATGTGTCTGCAGTTTTAGAATTTTCAGGTAGGGTGTTCCAGATTTTAGGGCCTTTGACATACATTGAATTTTTGTAAAGGTTTAGTCGGACACGGGGAATGTCATAGAGATGTTTGTGTCTGGTGTTGTGCCTGTGGGTTCTGTCGCAACTATCAAGAAAGCGTTTTAGGTCAAGGTTAATATTGGAATTTAAGGTCCTGTAGATGTAGATTGCACAGTAGTAAGTGTGGATGTACTGAACAGGGAGTAAGTTTAGATCTATGAAGAGTGGGGGGGGTGTGTTGCCAGGGATGGGATTTAGTGATTATTCTTACTGCGGCTTTTTGTTGGGTTATTATTGGCTTTAGGTGTGTTGCTGCAGTTGAACCCCAAGCACAGATAGCATAGGTGAGGTATGGATATATAAGTGAATGGTATAGTGTGAGAAGGGCAGTTTGCGGCACGTAGTATCGTATCTTGGAGAGGATCCCATACCGTTTTGGATACTTTTTTGGTTATGTGTTGGATATGGGTGCTGAAGTTCAGGTTGTTGTCGAAGTATAGGCCTAGGAATTTGCCCTCATTATGCCTGGCAATTAGAGTGTTGTCGATCTTAATGTTAATTTGCGCATCTCCTGCTCTGCTACCAAACATAATGTAGTAGGTTTTGTCAGTGTTAAGCAGTTGTTATGCAGAGCATTTTGGGCAAATTACGTCAGTTTTACCCTCTGGATGCAACCCACACCAGTCGACTAACACCCAGGTACCTACAGTATTTTACTGACAGGTGTCTTAAGGAAACACATCCTAATATTTCTACCCATACCAGGGACTGAACCATGGACCTCTGTGTGTGGGCTGAGTGCACTAGCAATTGAGCTACACAACACCTTAAGACTACAGAGGCATATCATTACATATTATTATTAGAAATAATTGGTTGGGTTACAGTCTAGTAAGTTTATAAGTGCTATCTTTTACATTAGCTGACATTATAGGTATGGAAACTAAACAAAACAGAATCAGAACCCCTGCCAATAGCATGTGGAGTTCCCCAAGGTAGTATTCTGGGTCCCTTATTATTCCTATGTTATGTAAATGACATGCCCATCAGTGTCAAGTGCAAACTCCTACTGTATGCAGATGACAGTGCTCTGTTAGTGTTAGGTAAAGACCCACAAGATATAGCTTATGTACTATCACTAGAACTAGAGTCCTGCAACAAATGGTTAGTAGACAACAAACTATTGCTACACCTCAAGAAAATGGAAGCCCATACTCCTTGGCATGAAACAAAAACTGAAAAGGGTAAATAATTTTAATGTCCAGTGTAATGGGGAGCCCATCACTTAAGTATCTTCAGTGAAATATCTGGGAATCCCCTTTGAACCATGCATGACAGGAGAATTGATAGAGAACAGTGTAGTAAAGAAAGTGAATGCCAGACTAAAGTTCCTCTACAGACAAGCACAGTGTCTACCTACTGAGGCTCGCAGGACCTTATGTCTAGCTCTTATACAGTGTCATATGTCTTCATGGTACTCTGCCTTGACAAAAAAAAACTGAAAGATAAACTGCAAATCACCCAGAACAAAATGGTAAGATTCATTCTGGAGCTGGGACCAAGAGAACATGTTGGCCAGGATGAATTACAACAACTGGTTATGCTGAATGTTGAAGACAGAGTAAAACAACTGATGTTAAATCAAGTTTATAAAATTGCTCACAAACAATGTCCAGAATATCTTGTGCCAATTTTGTCAAGGTTGGGAACCGCAGCAATCATAGTACTAGGGGCAGAGAGCACAACTTTGTAGTACCCACAGTCAGTGGCCAGGCTTCAAACACCTTTTATTGTACAGTAATAAAGGTGTGGAACAGACTACCTGCACATGTCAAAACCAGTTATAGCATGAACCAGTTCAAGAAGAGAACCAAAAGTTGCATAGTAAATGTAGCAGAAAGGGAAGAATAATTTTTTATTTAACACATGTAAATATAAATAATTAATTTTACCTTATTCCTGTATATCTCATTTAGAGTATAATAATAAGATATTATCTCCTTTATTATGTAATAATAAGGTACGTATTAAAAGGACCCCAGTGGAAATAAGTCACTTTGCCTTTTTTGGGTTATCCTGGGTACTCTACACATGCTGCTATGTATCTGTGTAACTGTAATTGTGTATACCTGAAGAAACTTAATTACAAAATACAGGAATTATGGAAATAAGTAATTTTTTCTGACTTTTGAACCATGTATGATAATTGTACATATATGTACCTGTACCTAAATAAACTTATTAACTGGTGGGTGCCTGCACATACCAATAATTGCATTACATAAATAACTCGCACATATTATTATTATTATTATTATTATTATTATAATCAAGGGGAAGCGCTAAACCCGGAGAATTATACAGCGCCTGGGGGGGGGATGTGGAAGGCATTCAGGCTTAATTCGGGGAACTGGAGCACAGATCCAATTACCTAGATCAAGAGCCCCTCACCAACATCAAGGAACTTTCCTTGAGGGGAATCATTGCATTAAAATTTCATTACTCCCAAGTTACTGTACACCGGCCTAAAAAAAAATAATTGGAGCCGAGAGGATGAGGCGTTCACAAGTTAGTAAAATTAGGTAAAGTTAATACAGTTAGGTAAAACTGGGTCAACCACTTAATGTATCCGGTCTAGTTTACCTAATTAATATTACTTTCGTAATTTACTCTAAACATGAATGTTTATATTGTGACGTCATGAAAAACTCGAACACTGATTGACTGGGAGGTGACGTCACGAGCAACACATGCGTTGATTGGCTTGCAGGATTCTTTGGGTAGATTTGAATTTGCTTCTCAAAGGTAAACAAGACGTCAGTGGGGCTGCTCAGCACAATTTTGAAGGAAAAAATGGCGCAAAATATCGCACCAGGAGTAGTTAACGCCTCAACTTCCATGAAGAGCAACACCGAGCGAGCCATCGCGGGTAGAGATTCACATTCCGTGAGTAAAAGGTAAGAAAATGGTAGGATTTAAATGGCTCGAATGCTGGTGCTTTAACAGCTGTGTTGGTGGGGGGCAGCCTTCCCTCTCCCAGGTAACCTGCACCTCCCTCTCCCAGGTAACCTGCACCTCCCTCTCCCAGGTAACCTGCACCTCCCTCTCCCAGGTAACCTGCACCTCCCTCTCCCAGGTAACCCGCACCTCCCTCTCCCAGGTAACCCGCACCTCCCTCTCCCAGGTAACCGCACCTCCCTCTCCCAGGTAACCGCACCTCCCTCTCCCAGGTAACCCGCACCTCCTCTCCCAGTAACCCGACCTAAACTCGAACCTCATTGCTCAGGGTAACACCAGCACCATCCTCTCCGGGTAACCCGCACGTCCTCTCCCAGGTAACGCGCAGGGCTGCCTCCCTCTTCAGGTAAAACCGCAACTTCCACCCGAGTAGTTAACGCCCTCACTCTCCAAGAGCTAACCCGCACCATCCTCACATTCCATGGTAGTAACATGGTAGATTCACTCTCCAGGTAACCTGTTGCACCTTCCCTCTCCCAGGTAACCTGCACCTCCCTCTCCCAGGTAACCTGCACCTCCCTCTCCCAGGTAACCCGCACCTCCCTCTCCAGGTAACCCGCACCCTCCCTCTCCCAGGTAACCCGCACCTCCCTCTCCCAGGTAACCCGCACCTCCCTCTCCCAGGTAACCCGCACCCCCTCTCCCAGGTAACCCGCACCTCCCTCTCCCAGGTAACCCGCACCTCCCTCTCCCAGGTAACCCGCACCTCCCTCTCCCAGGTAACCCGCACCTCCCTCTCCCAGGTAACCCGCACCTCCCTCTCCCAGGTAACCCGCACCTCCCTCTCCCAGGTAACCCGCACCTCCCCTCTCCCAGGTAACCCGCACCTCCCTCTCCCAGGTAACCCGCACCTCCCTCTCCCAGGTAACCCGCACCTCCCTCTCCCAGGTAACCCGCACCTCCCCTCTCCCAGGTAACCCGCCCTCCCTCTCCCAGGTAACCCACACCTCCCTCTCCCAGGTAACCTGCACCTCCCTCTCCCAGGTAACCTGCCCCTCCCTCTCCCAGGTAACCTGCCCCTCCCTCTCCCAGGTAACCTGCCCCTCCCTCTCCCAGGTAACCTGCCCCTCCCTCTCCCGGGTGACCCGCGCCCCCCTCTCCCGGGTGACCCGCGCCCCCCTCTCCCGGGTGACCCGCGCCCCCCTCTCCGGGTGACCCGCGCCCCCCTCTCCCGGGTGACCCGCGCCCCCTCTCCCGGGTGACCCGCGCCCCCCTCTCCCGGGTGACCCGCGCCCCCCTCTCCCGGGTGACCCGCGACCCCCCCTCTCCCGGGTGACCCGCGCCCCCTCTCCCGGGTGACCCGCGCCCCCCTCTCCCGGGTGACCCGCGCCCCCTCTCCCCGGGTGACCCGCGCCCCCCTCTCCCGGGTGACCGCGCCCCCTCTCCCGGGTGAACTGCGCCCCCCTCTCCCGGGTGAACTGCGCCCCCCTCCCGCGGGTGAACTGCGCCCCCCTCTCCCGGGTGACCCGCCCCGCTCCCGGGTGACCCGCGCCCCCGCTCTCCTGGGTGACCCGCGCCCCCGTCTCCCGGGTGGACCCGCGCCCCCTCCCCCGGGTGACCCGCGCCCCCCTCCCCCGGGTGGCCCGTGCCCCCCTCCCCCGGGTGGCCCGCGCCCCCTCCCCCGGGTGGCCCGCTCCCCCTCCCCCGGGTGGCCCGTGCCCCCTCCCCCGGGTGGCCCTGCCCCCCTCCCCCGGGTGGCCCGCGCCCCCTCCCCCGGGTGGCCCGCGCCTCCCTCCCCCGGGTGGCCCGCGCCTCCCTCCCCCGGGTGACCCGCGCCTCCCTCCCCCGGGTGGCCCGCGCCTCCCTCCCCCGGGTGGCCCGCGCCTCCCTCCCCCGGGTGGCCCGCGCCTCCCTCCCCCGGGTGGCCCGCGCCTCCCTCCCCGCGGTGGCCCGCGCCTCCTCCCCCGGGTGGCCCGCGCCTCCCTCCCCCGGGTGGCCCCCGCCTGCCTCCCCCGGGTGGCCCCCGCCTGCCTCCCCCGGGTGGCCCCCGCCTGCCTCCCCCGGGTGGCCCACCCCTCCCTCTCCTTCACACTTCAATTGAACCTCTCGTCTCTTTCCTAGGTCTTAACCTTATTGCTTGCCCGTTTCCTCCAGGCATTATACAACTCCCAATGGGTTTAGCGCATCTGTGAATGTAGCATCTTTTACAAGGACACCAGTGAAAATAAGTTGCTTTGACTATTTTGGGGGTTTATTCTAGGTAATTTACACTGTATGATAATTGTACTTGTGTGTAACTGTACCTAAATAAACTTGCATACTGTTTTAAGGAAACCTACTACTGAATGCTGGATGACATCCTCATGGCCTACGTAAGTTTATCAGGTGCCCTACTGGCCTCGCCCATTTCTGTATATAAGCCATACTGTGTGATAGGAAAATGTATTGGGGAGGGAATACCTCATACACCTCTTCCTCATACACCCATCCTTAAAATCTCCCCACTATTCCCTACCTTCAAATTCTCCCTCCCTCAAATCCCTCACAACTGGTTTATTCATTCATATATGTACTGTACTCAAAATTCCTAAACACCACAAATGATGCAGTTGAAGTTTTGGCAGTAAAGATTCAGAACCAAAACCTTGCCATTGTGGAGGTAAGCCACTTGATACAACTTCCCCAACAATTCAAGGAACAGATTTTGAAAATTGACTACTGTCTGGGAAATCTCCCAAGCCCAGCCCTAAATATCTTGTTGCTGGGTGATTTCAACTTAAGACACCTAAAATGGAGAAATGTGGCAAATAATGTTTTATGAGAGATAACCTCTAGGAGGCCACTCAGATGAAAATTCACACACCCACACGAGCTATTAAATCTCTGCAACAAATTGACCTTAAGCCAGCAAATAGTGGAGTCAACAAGACTAGAAAATACACTTGACCTTATCTTCACTAATGATGATGATATATAACAGTATTAGACATCCCCCAATGAAAATGCAGGGGCACCATTAGTATGCTAAGACACGACATAGTGTCAGGGGCCCAAGTTTGTTTGACTGCCTCCCAGCATACATAAGGGGGATTACCAGTACGACCCCAGTGTGTCTTCCAGAGGGTGCTGGACAGACACCTAAAGTCAGTACCTGACCAGCTGGGCTGTGGTTCGTACATTGGTTTGTGTGTGGCCAGGAATAACAGCCTGGTTGATCAGGCCCTGATCCACCATGAGGACTGGTCATGGATCGCATCACAGGGGGCAGTGACCTTCAGAATACCCTACAGATTCAAGATGGAAAATCTTGCACACCAGTAATAGTTGAATGTTGCTTCTTGGCAAATTTTCGTGATGAAATACTGTATAGTATAAATTGTATACATGTATTACTGAGTGGGTTTTACATTAATTATAGTACGTATTATGGTGTTTGAATAATAAGGAATGTAATTAAGTCTAATAAACCCCACCTAACCCAACATAAGTTACCTAATGTAACTTAATCTTACTTAGCCACTGGATATCCTCTGCATCTTTGTTGCCGTGAATGGCCAGGCCAAAATACTAAATGTTGATGCTCTGATGTGCTTCTCATGGCAAAAAATAAAAAAGTGTTTTCTCCAATATCTTCCAAAATAATTTGCCCAAGAAATAACTTCTGTGGTGTACATAGCTTGTATTTTTTTTTTTTTTTTTTTTTCAACAAGTCGGTCGTCTCCCACCGAGGCAGGGTGACCCAAAAAAGAAAGAAAATCCCCAAAAAGAAAATACTTTCATCATCATTCAACACTTTCACCACACTCACACATTATCACTGCTTTTGCAGAGGTGCTCAGAATATAACAGTTTAGAAGCATATACGTATAGAGATACACAACATATCCCTCCAAACTGCCAATATCCCAAACCCCTCCTTTTAAAGTGCAGGCATTGTACTTCCCATTTCCAGGACTCAAGTCAAGGTTGGTAGACAGCAACCACCCAGGGAGGTACTACCGTCCTGCCAAGTGAGTGTAAAACGTAAGCCTGTAATTGTTTTACATGATGGTAGGATTGCTGGTGTCTTTTGTCTGTCTCATAAATATGCAAGATTACAGGTACGTCTTGCTACTTCTACTTACACTTAGGTCACACTACACATACATGGACACGTTTATTTATACACACTCATCTGAGTTTTCTTTGATTTTATCATAATAGTTCTTGGTCTTATTACTTTTCCTTTTATATCCATGGGGAAGTGGAATAAGAATCTTTCCTCCGTAAGCCATGCGTGTTGTAAAAGTCAACTAAAATGCCGGGAACAATGGGCTAGTAACCCCTTTCCCTGTAAAGATTACTAAAAAGAATAAGAAGAAGAAAAATTGTCATAGCTTGTATATGTACATAAAATATAAAATAATGTCTGATTTCCAAGGAGCATCCTTCAGTTATAACCCAAACTACAGTACTACTATTCAGGGTACAATTAAATTTCTTTTCACAGTATGTACAGTATGTAGCTTATGGCTCTTATTCCTTCAGTATACATGTACAGTGGACCCCCGCATAACGATCACCTCCGAATGCGACCAATTCTGTAAGTGTATTTATGTAAGTGCGTTTGCACGTGTATGTTTGGGGGTCTGAAATGGACTAATTTACTTCACAATATTCCTTATGGGAACAAATTCGGTCAGTACTGGCACCTGAACATACTTCTGGAGTGAAAAAATATCGTTAACCGGGGGTCCACTGTATATTAAATTATCTTTCTAATTTAGTAGATTTAGTATGAGATTAGATTATGGTGATGGACTATGGAGGCTTTGAGCCTTGGTAACATGACTAGATAACAGTACAGTATTTAAAGATTTTTCAAGACTGGGAAAAGAGCCCAGCATAAAAGGAATCCTGTTTCTCAGAAGGTAGTACCATATCTTCTGCGGAATTGTCTACCACCCTCCAACCTATAAGTAAGCTTATTTTTCAATAATTCCTTTGATGCATTCAAAATTACAATTTTTATTTGTGAAGCTTTATGCTGTGGTTTTAGAATTCTTAAAAATTTTGTTGTGCATATTATAAGATTTCTGATTATTGTATATTTTGTATATGCAATTATTTGAAATATACTGTACTCTGAATCATTTAATGTATAATGGTGATATGTCAGATTGCAACATGAGCTGATGACACTGATGATGTCCACGGACAAAGGAATCTCGGCATTTCCTGAGGGAGACAACCTGTTCAAGTGGATCGGCACACTCACAGGCCCAAGCGCTACAGTAAGTATCTAATCTTAATGGCATAATGTCTTGTCTTCATGCTCTTCCTTTAATTTTATACATGGTTTATCAAAATTCATGGAAAACCATGCAGTGTGTTGGACTACAGTTGTACCTTGACATACGAGTTTAATTCATTCCGTGACTGAGCTCGTAACTCAATTTGCTAGTGTATCAAATCAATTTTCCTCATTGAAATGCCATTAATCCGTTCCAGTCCCCCCAAACACCCCAGTTTTTTTGTTATGGGTTTTTAAATAAGAAAAATGTATTTATAAATAAATTATTTTTGCCTTTTTTGCCAGGTCCCACCAATGTTTTAGAAATGCTGGAGTATGTGAAACTCCTTGAAGCACGGTGTAAGATGAGTGTCACTCCACTGCTGACAGTGTAGCAGTGGAGTGACATTTGATAATCGTGCACTGCCTTGGCTTTATTTTTCACTGTTACACACAAACATGTCTGTCTGTTTGTTGGTCTAGTTCTGTCTGTTTATCTGTCTCTGCTTATGTGTCTTTCTGTCTACCTGTGTTTGTCTTCCTGTCTCTCTACTTGTCTTTGTCTAAGAGAGAGAGCCACTCATGAACCAACAGGTATTACAATGCAGAGTTGTCACGTCTGATTTCTGAACAAGTGAAAATGTGTATTGCTTGCCAGTTAAGCTTATTATACCTTATATCTACAAGCATAGTATAGCACTTTGGATTTTTGGGGTTATCCTAGGTAATTTACATTATGTATAAATATTTATGTGTACCTGAGAGAGAGAGAGATACAGACAGACAGAAGGAAACAGAGACAGCCAAAGCAAATTAGCCAGCCAGCTGGCCACCCAACCAGCTGGCCTGCCGAACATATATTACACGTTCCAGAATTGTTTCTCTTTACTTAGGTCATACATTATAGAACATTCTGGCAGGATGACATTACCAGCGGTATCAAAATTGAAAAGATGTTACACACTGATTATTATCGAGGTTTTTAGTATTTCCTTGGTATGTCCTGCAAGTGGCGGCATATCTGAAGCTCACTTGTAACTCTGATTTTGGCTCACAACTCAAAGCAAAAAACTGACCAAGCGACAGCTTGTAACTCAGAAAACTCGTAAGTCAAGATACCACTGTATTTGTAAATGATAATTTAAAAAGTATGTGTTGAATTCCTCTCACATATGCATTAAAATGTTTAACTAATTTATTCTAAGAGCTATCAATAACACCTCACTAGTTGCTGGAATGAAATGCTGGACATATTTTTTTCCCCACATTCTAGCTGTTATTTCCTGTAATAAGATTGTTGCCCTTTGTATACAGTAGTCCCCCTGTATCTGTGATAAATACGTTCCAAGAACTACCATGGATACTGAAGCTGCGGATAGTGGCGAACCCTGTGTGTGTCGTTTTTCATGTACATACACATCTATGATAAAGTTTAATTGATAAATTATGTACAATAAGTGGAAAATTAGCACTTGTTTCACTAGTGGGAAACACTTCATGACTTAGGTTTTGAAGAACTGCCATCATCACTGTTGCACTTTGTGACCATTATTGAGCAAAATTATTTTTGGGCTACAGTAAACCATCGATAACTGAAACCATAGAAACTGAATCTGTGGATATGGGAGTTCTACTGTATGTGTACCTTTCTCTCATATGTAAAACTTTCATTTTTTTTTTTTAAATTTCCTTGGATTAAATCTTAGCCATATAATTTAATTTATTTAAAACATTATATATTTTTAACTATAATACATAAAAGAATACAAGATGGTGATATCATTTCACGTATTATAACTGAAACCTTTTCATGGACATGTGAAACGAGAAGTTAACCCCTTGACTGTCGCAACCCCCAATCCTGAAGTGTCTCCTGGTGTCGCAAAATTTAAAAAAAAAAAATAATATTTTTCTTATGAAATGATAGAGAATCTTTTCCCGATTGTAATGACACCAAAAACACGAAATTTGATGAAAAACTGACGGAATTACACTCTCGCGAAGTTAGCGACCTCGGTGATATTTACAAATCGGCGATTTCGCCCACTTTGACCCCTATTTTCGGCTAATTCTATTGTTCCAGTCGACCAAACTCATAGCTATTTCTTTAGAACTCCATTTTTTTCTATCGATTGAGTACAAGAAACTGCCCATTTACCGATTTCAACTACCCAATAACATGGTCAGAAATTTGCAATTTGGCCAATTTCACGAAAATTAAAAAATATGACAATTTCAAAATACGGTCCAGAATGAACAATGCAGGCATTCCTGGCTCTAAAATAACATTTTCTTTGTTCATCAGTCACATCTCCAAGCCCCTCTGATATTACTCTTGCTTTCTATTTTGAATTTTTATTCAAACAAAAAATAGAAGATTTACTGTTATGCAGACTACTGCAATATTGTAATAATTGTATAAATAACATCAACCCATTCATGACTGCATATTAGAATGGCTAGTTGGACATTTATTGGATAATGACATCATTTGTTTACTTTTGAACATCGGCAAAAATCAAACATTTCCCCTACTTTGAGCTCCATTTCCAGGTTCTTTTTAGAGTAAAATCAATCAAAATCACCTCTAATTCTATAATATGTTTTCCATTCTATCAAATGAGACCAAGAAAACAATAATACAACCATAAATACTATACGAAAATAGACCACAAAGTCGGCATTTTAATTAAAAAAACGGTCGGAGTTTTTTTTTTCTCATTATGCACTGCATGCTCCAGGATTTTTTTTGTGGTGCACACTGACCACACAGACCCATTCTCTCACATGTGAGCCTACCAGCTTTCTCCTGCTTGATTTGAAGCCGCTAGAATTTATGAGTATATATACGTCAAACACGGTACCTCGTAAGACGTATATATACGACCTCGACAGTCAAAGGGTTAAGGAAAGAACATGCCTCAGTAAGCTTTGTATAACTGTATAAATTTGAGAGTAAAAGGAAAGAAATTGAACTAGAAATAGCTTATACAGTAAGAAAGAAAAAAATACAAAGAGAAATTGGTAATTACTGAAAGGTTAATGTAAAACTATAGAACATGTACTACTGTACATATTCTGTTTGGCTGTGTACAGCCAAAGAAATGAACAGCAATTTGTATAAAATTTTAAAATGTGTTTACGCCCTGTTCCATACTGTGTCCTCCCTGGGCAACTTCATTTATTTATTTATTTTAAAGGACTGTGAGCTCCAATGATACTACTGTACATCCCATTATTGGCCACAGTTAATGAAGGAACATATAATTTGAGCAATATTTACTTGTCATTTTACAGAAAGAAATCAGGTGTGCTTGACAGTTTCTAAAACATCTTTGAACTCACTTGTCAGGTTCTTGATAAATTAGACACATGTGCAACACTTGGGTATCTTTATTAAGGAAACATTTCACCACACAGTGGCTTTATCAGTCCATAACAAAGGAGAATGGGATAAGAACAGGAGTTTGAAGTAATCAGTCTCTCGGCCTTGAGCGATGTGGTTATTCCATCAATCTTGAAAAGAATACAGCATATGTGCGAAGTAGCTTGCATACCGTAGGCAGGAGAGGTGCAGCAGTCGTAGGTGGTATCACATTTGTCCAATGTGGAAGTAGGTCATGCCCATGTCAGGTTCTTAGAACACTGATGTTTATTGTACTGTAATTCAGTACCCTTTCAATTTCTTAGAATATTCTTTGTATGTATCGGCTTCTCTTAGTATTTTCACATTTACACCGAAATGATGCAGAACTGTACATCCCTTATAAAGCTTGCAATAATTCATAAGTTATTACAATGTATATAATTTTATTTCAGGTTTATGAGGGACTAACTTACAGATTGACATTAGAGTTCCCAAGTAGCTACCCATATTCAGCCCCAACAGTCAAGTTCATCACCTCCTGTTTTCACCCTAATGTTGACCTGCATGGGAACATCTGCCTAGATATTTTGAAAGAAAAATGGTCTGCATCTTATGATGTGCGGTCCATTCTTCTTTCCATTCAGTCATTGCTCGGAGGTAAGTTATTGATGAGTGTAAATGCCACAGTTCTGAAGCATGTAGATACAAAATATGTACATATTAATTATTTATTAATACAGTGCACCCCCGCTTAACGATCACCTCCAAACGCGACCAATTATGTAAGTGTATTTATGTAAGTGCGTTTGTACGTGTATGTTTGGGGGTCTGAAATGGACTAATCTACTTCACAATATTCCTTATGGGAAAAAATTCGGTCAGTACTGGCCCCTGAACGTACTACTGGAATGAAAAAAGTTCGTTAACCGGGGGTCCACTGTATACAGTTATTATCATGGGGTAATGTTAAACCTGTAGGGGTCATGCAGTGCCCTTCATTAGCACTAAGGCACTGCCCCTTTAAGGGGTTAACGCAGGCATACCTCACTAATACAGTGGGTTAGGTTCCAGACTGCCACTGTACAGCAAATCATAGCATTTTTTCACTTGCCAGGGCATGTAAAAGCCTAAAATAATGTTTAGACTATTATTATTATTATGTAGTAGGTTGGTAGACAGCAACCACCCAGGGAGGTACTACCGTCCTGCCAAACGAGTGTAAAACGAAAGCCTGTAATTGTTTTACATGATGGTAGGATTGCTGATGTCTTCTGTCTGTCTCATAAATATGCAAGATTACAGGTATGTCTTGCTACTTACACTTAGGTCACACTACACATACATGTACACATTTATTTATACACACTCATCTGAGTTTTCTTTGATTTTATCTTAATAGTTCTTGGTCTTATTACTTTTCCTTTTATATCCATGGAGAAGTGGAATAAGAATCTTTCCTCCGTAAGCCATGCGTGTTGTAAAAGTCAACTAAAATGCCCGGAACAATGGGCTAGTAACCCCTTTTCCTGTAAAGATTACTAAAAAGAATAAGAAGAAGAAAATTGTCAAAGTAGGAAGTCTGAATGTGCGTGGATGTTGTGCAAATGATAAGAAAGAGATGATTGTGGATGTTATTAATGAGAAGAAGCTGGATGTCCTGGCTTTAAGTGAAACAAAGCTGAAGGGGGTGGGAGAGTTTCAATGGAGAGGAATAAATGGGATTAGGTCAGGGGTTTCAAATAGAGTTAGAGCTAAAGAAGGAGTAGCAATAATGTTGAAGGATAAGCTATGGCAGGAAAAGAGGGACTATAAATGCATTAATTCAAGGATTATGTGGAGCAAAATAAAGATTGGATGTGAAAAGTGGGTTATAATAAGCATGTATGCACCTGGAGAAGAGAGAAGTGTGGAGGAGAGAGAGATTTTGGGAAATGTTGAGCGAATGCGTGGGGTGTTTTGAATCAAGTGTGAGAGTAATGGTGGTTGGGGATTTCAATGCTAAAGTGGGTAAAAATGTTATGGAGGGAGTAGTAGGTAAATTTGGGGTGCCAGGGGTAAATGTAAATGGGGAGCCTTTAATTGAGCTGTGTAAAAAGAGATTTGGTAATAAGTAATACATATTTTATGAAAAAGAGGATAAATAAATATACAAGGTATGATGTAGCACGTAATGAAAGTAGTTTATTAGATTATGTATTGGTGGATAAAAGGTTGATGGGTAGGCTCCAGGATGTACATGTTTATAGAGGGGCAACTGATATATCGGACCATTATTTAGTTGTAGCTACAGTTAGAGTAAGAGGTAGATGGGAAAAGAGGAAGGTGGCAACAACAAGTAAGAGGGAGGTGAAAGTGTATAACTAAGGGAGGAGGAAGTTCGGTTGAGATATAAGCGACTATTGGCAGAAAGGTGGACTAGTGCAAAGATGAGTAGTGGGGGGGTTGAAGAGGGTTGGAATAGTTATAAAAATGCAGTATTAGAATGTGGGGCAGAAGTTTGTGGTTATAGGAGGGTGGGGGCAGGAGGAAAGAGGAGTGATTGGTGGAATGATGAAGTAAAGGGTGTGATAAAAGAGAAAAAGGTAGCTTATGAGAGGTTTTTACAAAGCAGAAGTGTTATAAGAAGAGCAGAGTATATGGAGAGTAAAAGAAAGGTAAAGAGAGTGGTGAGAGAGTGCAAAAGGAGAGCAGATGATAGAGTGGGAGAGGCACTGTCAAGAAATTTTAATGGAAATAAGAAAAAATTTTGGAGCGAGTTAAACAAGTTAAGAAAGCCTAGGGAAAGTATGGATTTGTCAGTTAAAAACAGAGTAGGGGAGTTAGTAGATGGGGAGAAGGAGGTATTAGGTAGATGGCGAGAATATTTTGAACTTTTAAATGTTAAGGAAGAAACAGAGGCAGTAATTTCATGCACTGGTCAGGGAGGTATACCATCTTTTAGGACTGAAGAAGAGCAGAATGTAAGTGTGGGGGAGGTACGTGAGGCATTACGTAGAATGAAAGGGGGTAAAGCAGCTGGAACTAATGGGATCATGACAAATGTTAAAAGCAGGGGGGGATATAATGTTGGAGTGGTTGGTACTTTTGTTTAATAAATGTATGAAAGAGGGGAAGGTACCTAGGGATTGGCAGAGAGCATGTATAGTCCCTTTATATAAAGGGAAAGGGGACAAAAGAGACTAAAAATTATAGAGGAATAAGTTTACCGAGTATACCAGGAAAAGTGTACGGTAGGGTTATAATTGAAAGAATTAGAGGTAAGACAGAATGTAGGATTGCGGATGAGCAAGGAGGTTTCAGAGTGGGTAGGGGATGTGTAGATCAAGTGTTTACATTGAAGCATATATGTGAACAGTATTTAGATAAAGGTAGGGAAGTTTTTATTGCATTTATGGATTTAGAAAAGGCATAGGATAGAGTGGATAGAGGAGCAATGTGGCAGATGTTGCAAGTATATGGAATAGGTGGTAAGTTATTAAATGCTGTAAAGAGTTTTTATGAGGATAGTGAGGCTCAGGTTAGGGTGTGTAGAAGAGAGGGAGACTAGTTCCCGGTAAAAGTAGGTCTTAGACAGGGATGTGTAATGTCACCATGGTTGTTTAATATATTTATAGATGGGGTTGTAAAGGAAGTAAATGCTAGGGTGTTCGGGAGAGGGGTGGGATTAAATTTTGGGGAATCAAATTCAAAATGGGAATTGACAGTTACTTTTTGCTGATGATACTGTGCATATGGGAGATTCTAAAGAAAAATTGCAAAGGTTAGTGGATGAGTTTGGGAATGTGTGTAAAGGTAGAAAGTTGAAAGTGAACATAGAAAAGAGTAAGGTAATGAGAGTATCAAATGATTTAGATAAAGAAAAATTGGATATCAAATTGGGGAGGAGGAGTATGGAAGAAGTGAATGTTTTCAGATACTTGGGAGTTGACGTGTCGGCGGATGGATTTATGAAGGATGAGGTTAATCATAGAATTGATGAGGGAAAAAAGGTGAGTGGTGCGTTGAGGTATATGTGGAGTCAAAAAACTTTATCTATGGAGGCAAAGAAGGGAATGTACGAAAGTATAGTAGTCCCAAACACTCTTATATGGTGTGAAGCTTGGGGGTAAATGCAGCAGCGAGGAGACGGTTGGAGGCGTGGAGATGTCCTGTTTAAGGGCAATTGTGGTGTAAATTTTAATGCAGAAAATTCGGATGTGGAAATTAGGAAAAGGTGGGGAGTTAATAAAAGTATTAGCTAGGGGGCAGAAGAGGGGTTGTTGAGGTGGTTTGGTCATTTAGAGGGGAATGGATCAAAGTAGAATGACATGGAAAGCATATAAATCTATAGGGGAAGGAAGGGAGGGGTAGGGGTTGTCCTCGAAAGGGTTGGAGAGAGGGGGTAAAGGAGGTTTTGTGGGCAAAGGGGCTTGGACTTCCAGCAAAACGTGGGGGGAGCGTGTTAGATAGGAGTGAATGGAGACGAATGGTACTTGGGACCTGACGATCTGTTTAGTGTGAGCAGGGTAATATTTAGTGAAGGGTTTAGGGGAAACCGGTTATTTCATATAGTCGGACTTGAGTCCTGGAAATGGGAAGTACAATGCCTGCACTTTAAAGGAGGGGTTTGGGATATTGGCAGTTTGGAGTGATATGTTGTGTATCTTTATATGTGTATGCTTCTAAACTGTTGTATTCTGAGCATCTTTGCAAAAACAGTGATAATGTGTGAGTGTGGTGAAAGTGTTGAATGATGATGAAAGCATTTTTTTTGGGGGGGGGGGGGATTTTCTTTTTTGGGTCACCCTGCCTCGGTGGGAGACGGCCGACTTGTTGAAAAAAAAAAACTATTATTATTAAGTGCACAATAGCATTAGGCCTAAAAAAAATGCATAAGTAAAATATTTTTTTTAAACTGACCAAAACTACCGTCTTAAAAGCAAGGCAAGCGCTGAAAATAATAAACGTTATTTTTTTTCTCTCTCTCTCTCTCAACAATTATCAAATGGTATACAATACCGACAGGTTGGTAGATAAGACACATAGGCAACATTTAGGCAACTTTATTCCGAAACGTTTTTGCTTACACAGTAGGCTTCTTCAGTCGAGTACAGAAAGTAGGCAGGAGCAATAGAGAGGAGAAGACGATGTACAGTCCATCACCCTTGACGTCGTAGATTTGAGGTTGTCAGTCCCTCACCCTGGAAAAGTGATGGACTGACTACATCGTCTTCTCTCTAAATGACCAAACCACCTCAACAACCCTTCTTCAGCCCTCTGACTAATACTTTTAGTAACTCCACACGTCCTAATTTCCACACTCCAAATTCTCTGCATAATATTTACACTACACATTGCCCTTAGACAAGACATCTCCACTGTCTCCAGCTGCCTCCTTGCTGCAGCATTTACAACCCAAGCTTCACACCCATATAAGAGTGTTGGTACCGCTATACTTTCATACATTCCCTTCTTTGCCTCCCTAGATAATGTCACAGTGCAGCCAAAGACCCAAAGTGAATGTGAATATAATTGAAAAGTGCTGTATTAGTGAAGCACCAAAGCAAGTGCCATATTAGCAAAGCTCTCTAAAGCGAGTGCTGTATTATCAAAGTGCCATATCAGTTAGTTTATTTACTGTAAATTTAAAATAATAAATTAGAATTGGAATGCATAACAAATATTCGTGTATACTAATGAACTGCGTGGTGGTAGGAGGTGCTCCTTCAAATTTTCGCTTTTTTTTTTTTTCAACAAGTCGGCCGTCTCCCACCGAGGCAGGGTGACCCAAAAAAGAAAGAAAATCCCCAAAAAGAAAATACTTTCATCATCATTCAACACTTTCACCACACTCACACATTATCACTGTTTTTGCAGAGGTGCTCAGAATACAACAGTTTAGAAGCATACACATATAAAGATACACAACATATCCCTCCAAACTGCCAATATCCCAAACCCCTCCTTTAAAGTGCAGGCATTGTACTTCCCATTTCCAGGACTCAAGTCCGACTATATGAAAATAACCGGTTTCCCTGAATCCCTTCACTAAATATTACCCTGCTCACACTCCAACAGATCATCAGGTCCCAAGTACCATTCGTCTCCATTCACTCCTGTCTAACACGCTCACGCACGCTTGCTGGAAGTCCAAGCCCCTCGCCCACAAAACCTCCTTTACCCCCTCTCTCCAACCCTTTCGAGGACGACCCCTACCCCGCCTTCCTTCCCCTATAGATTTATATGCTTTCCATGTCATTCTACTTTGATCCATTCTCTCTAAATGACCAAACCACCTCAACAACCCCTCTTCTGCCCTCTGACTAATGCTTTTATTAACTCCACACCTTTTCCTAATTTCCACACTCTGAATTTTCTGCATAATATTTACACCACACATTGCCCTTAGACAGGACATCTCCACTGCCTCCAACTGTCTCCTCGCTACTGCATTTACCACCCAAGATTCACATCCATATAAGAGTGTTGGTACTACTATACTTTCATTCATTCCCTTCTTTGCCTCCATAGATAACGTTTTTTGACTTCACATATACCTCAATGCACCTCTCGCCTTTTTTCCCTCATCAATTCTATGATTAATCTCATCCTTCATAAATCCATCCGCTGACACGTCAACTCCCAAGTATCTGAAAACATTCACTTCTTCCATACTTTGCAAACATTTATTCCTTGATTTAACCCTGTTGCAGTGAGTGCTAAAGGTGCACTGTTTCCCTATGTCTGTGGCCACAAAAAACAGATAAGTAGTGTAACACTAGAAACAAAACTAGAAATTTTAAAGAGGTTTGATGATGGACTTCGAGGTGTGGTTTCGTTATGTCTTTTTGCTTAGTTTCCAAGAGCCTATCAATAACATTGAGGACTTGCTGTACATTAGAACAGTGTGAAGTTGGGAAAATCTACATAGCCTGGTTTTGTACAGGTACTGTATATTATGCAGTGCTTTTGACTTAGCTTTAAATGTCAAAACCTTATGGTGACATTGAAAAGTTTGTTCCACTAAATGTTAATACTTTAGTAATATTAAACCTATAGGGATCATATAGTGCTTATGTTCAGACATAAATTAGGCAAAAAGAATGTAGAATGAATGCTAAATTAGTGCAGAATTGCACGGTGAAGTCTCTGGGCCTCTAAGGGGCCCAGGGACTTGAAAAAGTACTTTACTTGATTCTAATGCAGAACAGCATAAGACATAGCATATTATGAAGGAACAATGAGGAGAAGCAGAGCAAAGGAAAGGCATGGAAACTAATTTTTTGGCATATATGAATAAATGCTCAGTAATTTTAGTGCTGAGTTCTAGGTGACCTTTTCATATATACAATACTAGGTTCAGATTTGTATTTACTATGTTATTAAAGGGATATGTGCTTCTAGTATTTTAAATTTTTTCCCCATACTCTGCAGAACCAAACAATGACAGTCCTCTTAATGGCCATGCAGCTGAACTATGGGCTAACCAGGTAGCATACAAGAAGCACCTCATAGAACATTACAAGAAGGCAAATGGAGAACCATAATTAAGCTGGTCCCACTTCACATGCATATGTATGAATTTAAGATTTGTTTTTCAGTATATCATATTTGTGTTGTGCAAGAATGTGTGCTGAGTGACTTCAAACAGGGTATCATCAGTAGTACTTCAGTTTATCTGGGTTTCCTAGCTTGGTTCTCTTCTATTTAAGTATAACTAGATACAGTGAGCTATTTCCATTTTGTGACAGTATGTCAGACAAATAATATTTCTGTATCTCAGAGGATAAGCATAAGCTATATAATTTTCTTACATCAAACTGGCTAAGCTGCACTGTATTTAATTGAAAAAGAATGAATGCTTTAACTGTTAGGAAGTGTGAGCAATACTTTTTAAGTTAATATATTTAGATATCTATGATGTATGATAGTTTACAATAGTCATTGTGTACATTATACTGTTAAAAATGGTTTTGTTTTATATCGTGAGTTACAGTATTTATTTCTTAACCTAAGGAAGTCCTGGCCAAATTTAAATGCTAATGTTTCTCGTACCTTCACCCTTTGGGATGGATTACATCCCCTCAGGAACTAAAAATACATTAGCTGTGTTGGTGGCTGACCAGGTGTTTCAGTGAATATATTCAGTCATACATTTTCTAACCTGTAAGTGCAGTAATATCACATAACTTTACCGGCTTCTTCTTCTTCCCTTTTTGCCGTGTTGTTTGCAGGTCCAAAATGGTATACCCGCCGGACGGCTTGCCGCTTGGTCTCTTCTCACTCCATAGTCCTTTTTAAGAAGTCCTTACTTGTGTTACAACATCAACCCAGATCTAGGGCACCCTAAGGCCACCCCACTGGTTATGCATTCTCCACTGCGCAGTGGAACCTTCCAGGGCCTTAACTATGTACAACTCAATCTTCGAGGCTGGTAGATGAAGATCTTTGAGTATTTTGTACGTTTTTGGGGACATAACTCCCCTCCAGGTAATATCACTGCTCCGAGGACAACTTCTTGCGGGTCAATAGGCCGTATGTTGATTGTAGATGGCTCCACAGCGTTGTCCCGAAGTTCGTTGTATAGATGAAGCTGCTGGGTCGCCCACCGGGCTGTCCAGGATCTAATCTGCCCGGTGTCGTAGTACTCAGCCTTCCGTCGATACTTATCTGCTATAGTTGAAATGCCAGAATCACTTGCTATTTTAATGTCGAGCACGTAAGCCTTTTTGTTTTCCACATCACAAATTAAGAGATCCGGCTTAAGCATAAGAACATAAAAACAAAGGAACCCGGCAAAGGGGCCCTACTGGCCCATGCGAGGCAGGCCCCAACCCCTCCCGGGCTTAAGCCAATGCACCCCCAAACCTATTCGGGCCCAGGTCACATTGCTTAAGGGGGGAAACAGGGAAAACCCGACCTGGGTTTTTGGAATATGGGGTTTTCCCTTGGCTACCCAGGGTTCTTCTCTGCAGTCGGGAAAGAAAAAGCATCCATATTTTATCATGCCGCCCAGACCCGTTGCCCCAAGGAGCGGGGGGAAAAACCGGAGAAAGGTGCCCCCAAGGACCTCTTTGATCACAACCCCCCACGGGTTTGTTTTTCCCTGTCCTTCGCCCCTTTTGCTCGTCTAGTCTTATTGGCATTAAGTTATGCTTGATTTTTAATCCCAATCCAGGGAAAGCCCCCCTTTTAATTAACTTGTTCCATTCCCCACCAATGAGTATTTGGGGGGACAAAAGGGATTTTCCCTTTCCCACCCGGGCCCCCTTCCAGCCCAACCCCAAAAAGGGGCTTTTGTCCATTCCTTACCCGCGTTCCTAGTTTTTAAAACCCAACTTCCTCCTCAAACCTTGCCTTAAACCCCAATGCTTTCGGGGTGTTCGGTGCAACCCCAAAATTTCCCCAAAGTGCTATCCCAAGTTTAAAATAAATCCAATGTGTTTTTTCCCCGCAAAAAGGGGAACTCTTGTTGATAAAACAAAAACACCCCAAAACCCCCCCGGCCCAGCTCGGGAAAGCGAAAAACCCACCCCCTAGTGTTTGTTTTTTTGGAAAAATTCACCCAAATTTTTTACTTTTTCCCTAAAGTTTGTCCGACGTTTTCGGGTTTATTCTGACCAAAACGCCACCAAGCACCATAAATGAAGATGCCGGGGAATCGGGTCTTTTTTAAATAAAATATAACCGCTTTTGAGATTCAGGGGCGCCTCACTAGAGAGCTCGAAGTTTCCCCCACGAACTTTTGTATACGGCCCTTTCCCTACCAGCTGAAGAAAAATGCTTTCCCCAAAGGGTTTTTAAACAGGGCTGGGGTTTGCAAGGATCGAACTTGAGCTCCAAAATTTTTCTTTTTTGGGGGCCCCATATCTACTCCCCAATTTCCCTTAATTTTTTGGAATTGTTTGGATCTTCTTTTGGGGCCATTTTTTTGCAGATTTATCTCTAAACCTGACGCTTCTAAGTTATTTTAAGTATATACAAAAAAAAACCCCACTTTAAAAGAGAAAGCCCCGACGACGCCTCGGCCCCCAAACTTGGACCATTGAAAATTTCACGGGTCCAAGTGGGGCCGAGGGGGCCCGTCATGGGCCCTCTCTTTTATTGCGGTTATTTGTGTATCGTTCCAGCCCGGTTTTGTCCCTTTTTTTTATTTATTTGTTTTTCTAAGTTTTTTTAAAAACAAGCTGCAATTGTGCTTTTAAAAGGGCCTTTTGCTCTAAACCCGGCAACTAACACTACATCATTGCAAAACCCCAAAGGGCAGACACCTTATGCCGGGCACCACCATTGGCCACCAATTTGTTTAAAAAAGGGCCAACAGCGCTTCATCTTTAAACAAATTTTAAAAGAGAAAACAAGACAGAGGTCCCCCTTTTTTACCCCCACACCCCCTTTCCCTCTCTACCTAAAAATCAGTTAAACGCATCATAGAAACTCGACATAATAAAATTTAAATTTCCCCAAAGGGGGGAAACTTTAGGGATCGAATGCTCTCCTAAACCGAAGAGTTTTTTACCAATCAAAAGGCCCTTTCCCTTGAATTTTAAGAATATTGCATAAAAGGGGAATTTTAACCTTCAAATCCTTATTTTCGCTAATAAACCCCGCGTCCAACAACTTTAAAATTCTGACCCGGGCCCCATCTTTGGGCAAAACCTTTTTGGGCGCCAGTAAAAGGGGAAACCCAAACTGAACGCATCTTGCTGCTAAAATCTTATGGAAAAACCCAACAAAAATGTTTTGATATATTTATCGGTCTAAAACCCCCAGGATTTTCAGGTTGATAAAACCTTCGGCAGCAACAATTTTCTGGGCCTTTCCTAAAATCCCCAAAGGCGGGTATCCAGTGTACAACCAGATTTTAAAACCCAAATAAAACCCAGAACTGCCCCCGGGAAAAAATTTTAAAAATTCTTTAACATCCATCCATAAAGGCCCCTGGTGCAGAACAACCTTTGGGACGCAGCTACGCTTTTTAAAAACCCTTTTTCCCATTTCAACAGGTAACTGAAATTGCCAAGCTGATCTTCCACCACATCTCCCCCGATCTTAAAACTTCTTCAAGGGTCTAACAAAACAAATTAAACCCAAAAAACCTTTTTAATTTTATCTTTCCCTTACATTTTGCTGTTCGGGGGCGCCTAAGCTCCGCCATTTTCCCCACAAGTCCATCCCCGACCTTATTTTCTATCCTTGGGGGTAAGCTTCGGGATGTCCCTTTTAACACTGCCTTTTTTGGCTCTTCAAACCAAACCCCCTATTGTTTTTTTAAAACTGGGGGCTTTTTCCTCTGTAGCACCCACCCGCCTTCACCCTTGACATACCCCATCTAATTACTCTTAACCCAAAGACACACTCCCCAAAATACATTTCCCCCTTTTAAAAAAACTTTTAAACACTTAAAACCAATATCCCCTAAACCCTCCCGCATTTTCCCCCCCAACGTGTAAAAAAATGTATCATGTTCTGTATTTTCTGACATGTGTTTGCCGTATGAAACTAGGGCCCAATTGAAAAACTGGTGGGTGCTGTGTTAGTGCTTGTACTTTGGAACACTCATATTGGGGAGATTTCAATTCCATAATACCCTTCCCTGCCCCCAATTTGGTTGTTCCCGCGCCTCCGGCGGTCAAAATCTTAAATCCTTAAACTCCCAAACATCAACAGTATAAACATAAGTGTCAACTAAAGTTTTAAATGGGAAGCCACCCCTCCTGGGGGCCCTTAATTCCCTTAAACCCGGGCCCTTTCGGGTTGGGACTTCCCCAACAACAAATTCCTCCCCGTGGGGACACCATGACCAACTTTTCTCTTTTTTTCCCAGGATTTTTTCCACCTCACCCCAATACCCAACACCCCCTTTCTCCTTTTTGGGCCCCATCTGGTTTTTCACATGAACATTGCTTCCTTCACCCCCCTATGAAAATTCGTCGGGGTGCTTCTTTCTCGTTTTAAAGACAACCACTTTTGTTTCGAACACCCCAACCACACAAAAGAAAACCGAAATGGAGTTTCCATTTTCATCCCATATACTTAAACCCCTCAAATAACACACAAATGAACATACAAAACTGCCTTTTGGGCTCATTCATGAAAACCCGAGTTTAAATTTCTTTTTTCTTGTAAAAAAGGGTATACAAAACCCCATTCTTTTACAATGAATATTAAAAGGGGTTTCTTGAAAGGTGGCTTTTGGGTCTTTGTCTTTTAAATTTTTTAAAATTTTTTTTCCATAGGACTTTGTTTATATACGGGTTGCCCTCCTAAATTTTAAGAATGCCAAACTTCCCTTTCCTGCCCCCTTTTTGCTTTTAAACCCCTTCTTTTTTCCCCCCCTGGAAAACTAGCTTCTAAAAACATAATCTTGGTTAGGCTTTTCATTCCTAGAAGTAAGAGCCCCAAAATTTTTAACAAAGCACTTTCGGGAAATAACATTTTAAAAATATGCCGATAACTGCCCGAGCCAAATCATTTAAAGTGAATCACTTGTGTATGAAAGAAAATATAAACATAAAATTTCTACTTTTTTTTTTTTTTTTTCCCTTTGCCTGTTCAGCCCCCATAAATGGAGGAATTACACATTTTACTCCCGTACTGTAGTATTTTACCGGCCCTTGGGCCTGGCCTGGGTCTTTTCCAGATGGGGACCTGGTGCATCCAAAATCTTTTTTTTGGGAAAAATTTCATATCCCTCAAAGTACTACAGCAAAAAAACTAAAAGATTTTTTGTAATTATTAATATTTTTTCTGAACATTGGGGTTTGGGATCCCCAAAACCTTTGGATTTTTTATATGGGACAACCTTTTGGGTTTTGAAAGGGACAAACATAGTTAAAAACTTTTTTTATTGTCCCAAACTAGTAAAAATTTTGCTTATTGGGGTCTTCTTATGATGAGTTGAATTAAACCAAACATTGTTTATGGGTGTTTTTGACCTCTTTTATTTTTCCTTTTTAAAATATTGGCCCCCCCCTCTCATTTTACCCAATATAGTTTTTTTTCAAAAATCCCTTTTTAAAAATTTACATTCAAGAAAGTTCTTTGGCAACGAAAGAATGCACTATTTTGCTTCCCTTACAGAATGATTTTTTATATTTTCATTTTTCCCCTACTGTGTTTTTAATCAGTAACATAACGAGTAAAAACACTTGATTTGTAATGACCAAGTTTTTTTTGGGAAAAACAGATAAGAAAAGGGGGGCGAAATTGTGTTTGAATATTTTTATTTAACCCGGGGGTTGGAAAGGGAAATTTAAAAAAGGATTAAAAAAAAAAAAAAAAAATACTGGGAAAAATTTGTTTTCTTCCTTTAGTTTCAAGTGAAAGCTTACATCAACAACAACTGGGGTTGAAAGTATTTGTAAAATTAAAAGGGGCCCGTATTTTATTATATCCAAAATATTTGATTTTATTTAAAAGAAATTCACCAAAAAGTAAAAAAAAATTATAAATTTGGGTTTGAGCCAAAAAATAAAATAAATTTTTATTTAAAAAACATTATCCCATATGAAGATGGAAAGGGGTAAAAATAATGGGAAAATTTTTTTTTAAATGAAAAACTTGTTTGCAGTGTAAAAAAAAAAAGTATTAAATTTTAAAAAGACTTTTAAGTTAACAAATTTTGGATATTTTTTTAAATTGCTTTCACATCTTTTTTTAAAGTAGAAAATTACATTTTCTTGCTCAGTAAGTCCAAACCCAAAAAGGGGGAAAAAAGGGAACTAAATTTTGTTTAAATGCCCTTTAAATTTTTATTATATTATTTTTTTTGGTATTTAGGGAACCTACA